AAATAGAATGCTTTGGCGAATTAAAACACAGTGGAGATGATGACGATAAAAAGGGACAATTAAAAAATCTATTCTAATAAGCCTACTATGTAAAGAGAAAAAACGGATTACAGGCCTAAAATCACAATACCTACCTGATTGGATTTATCGTAGAATACTATAACGGTACTGTTGAGACAAAAGATGGGTTAGGTAGAGCATGGGTAGAGTGACATAGTACAGTAGATGGATTTAGAGGTGTGCTGCGAATGGTTAATATATTGACACCGTCCGCATCTCCCGTGTGTTTTCGTTCTCGTTTGGATTGGGACGTTTTGATCCGATGAGTGGGTTTTAATTTAGAACTATTATTTTAGCGTACCAAAATAACATCTAAGTTTAACCTACAAAAATAAATAATGGATGTTAGGGGCCTAACCACTTTTAATAGAGTGGGGCTCTTCCTCCTGATCCACATTAGTTTAGAAATATTTTGAAGGTCTCTAACAAACATTGACTCAAGGCGATGCTATAAAATGTGGATAGAAGATGTAGACCATGCAAAAAAAAACAGTACAAAAAATTAATTGAAAAAAATCACTTTTGAAATTAACCTGCTTATTTTGAGGCAACATAGAAATGATCAAATTGAAAATGGTGTATTCAAAAAATGTTTAGCCATAATTTTACAGCAAAAAGATATAACACGACATCTTTTAATCTGAATTTATGAACCACAAGTAGGCCATCGGAATGAAAACTTATCGGCAAAAGAAAGTCAGCGTGGCTGTAGTTTTGTATTGATCCGAGTAATAAAGCGAATCAAATTTACCTGGTTTTACAACAATTGTAGAATCTCATTATTTCTTTGTCGTGTTAGGAATAGCTAAGGACCTTGGATTTGCGTCATTGTAATATGGTTTTGAAAAAAACTCTATCTTTTGTGTATTTAATCTCGTCATGACAACCGTTTTCACAAACAACACGGTGCATTTAAGTGTTTACATATATAATGTAAGTTCTCGTAGAACGATTATTAACTTCTGCTGTGAAGCATTGGACCGACTCGTGATACGGGTACCCAAGTGTACATGATAAAGGTAGGTGTAAAATACAGTTTTAGGAAGTTATTTTATGTCAGCCCATTACAGACCTGTTAATATAAAATAATTATAGCACGACAGTGAATGCTGACGTCAAGAGAATCATGATTCTGGCGTATGGGTATGACTTATACGAATGACAGGAATCAAAAGAGCTCCATTATATAAGGCCTAGAGTATTGATTGAACAATATTTTGCCAATAGAACCGTAGTACAGGCGGCAATTATTGGTATTTGTTGTATATTGTCTCATAACACTGGTAATAGGCCTATATTACACAATCTAACTTTAAATAATGATCCTCTTCTTCGGTATTGACAGGACCCATGGTGTGTTGTTTTGTCAGACATAAAAATTGTTCACTTGGATCTGGTCAATAACTGAACAAAATGATATCAACGAACATAACTGTAATATATGGCAACCTTAGTAAATTAGTAATTGGACACATTACAAACAAATACAAACAAATTGTAGCCCTGCTGTATCCTTATTTTCCTCTAGAAATTACATTTAGAAGAACATTTTTAGACATTTTTAATCACAGGTTCGTTACAATCATAAAGAGAATATTCTTACATGCCCAGAATTATCGATTGAAACTATTATTATGTGTCATTGTGAATATTCTTATTAGTGATCATGGACAGTAAGCAATATGAAATAATAATAATAATAATAATAATAATAATAATAATAATAATAATAATAATAATAATATTATTATTATTATTATAATGATGATGATAATAATAATAATAATAATAATAATAATAATAATAATAATAATAATAATAATAATAATAATAATAATAATAATAATAGGCCTAATGATAGTAATATGCCTAATGATGGATGGGCTAGGACTCATTTTCATACCAACGAATTTTGCTTATATAAACTGAACTAAATTCACAGGGTAAGATAATCGGGGAGATGATTTAGGCAAGGGTTGGGAATATAAGGTAAAATAGAGGATACCATGTAGGAAAAGGAGATGAAAACTATAGATAAATTAAAATTGTCAAATAAAAAAAAAATAATAGACTTATACATCTCTATTTTTGTAAGAGAAGTTCAAATTTGTTGCCAACGTCAGAGACTAGAGGCATTAAGATAGATAATTTTCGTAATCAGCGTAGGCCCATCACAAATTAACCAATACTGGTAACAGATAGTAGTTAATGAATAGTACTACAAGTAGGCTAATTATTTTTGAGTGTATGTAGGTGCGATGCACCTCACCTTGGCAACGCTACATACCTCATAAGCATTTCATGACACTCGTTTTTATTGTCTATTTGCACTCGAATCTCGTTATCTACCCATAAGTCAGCGTTTTAACTCAATACAGGTGAATTCAATTGAGGCCTTTATACTGCACATTTGTTTATTGTGTTACCGGTTCAGTTTACTATCAATAGAACGATTGATATTATTGTAATCATTATCGTTATGAATCAATACCACTTATTAACGGCAGCATCCCTGATTATTATGTGCCTCTGGGGTATACTGGTTTGAGAAGAAAAAAAAATCCGACAGCCTAATTCAGATAATTAACACGAACGAAAAAAAAAATGCACCGGAAGTACTCAGAAATGTATCATAGTCTCTATTACCCCATTATGTAGCACTCCATTGTGTAAAATATGAGCGCTCTCTGCCCCTCCCCCTCCCCCAACCTCGTTGAGTTACTGGACCGGTAACCGAGTCCGCTCCTGGTCCTTTGAACGAACGTCGGCCGACGCACGATTCATGTCTCATGCATAGACACTCCGATATAAGTAAGAATAGTAAGCTGTTTGTTTTTTACCCAGCAGTAGAGAAAGAAAACTGATTGAAGTAGAAGTACCGGTATATCAGTAAATTAATTCCAGTTCAGACTTTGATTATTCCCTCCTCTTTACATTTAAGGTGAGATTGTGGAGAGGAAATCCTAATATCCTAATATGTAGTTCATTGCTGATCTGAATTGCAAAATTAATTACATTTATAGATTTTCAGTCTGTTCGTCAATGAATTCACGCAAAATTACCGTTCAATCGTTAACTTTGTTGTGTGTTTTACATAGCAACGGTAAACTGACGATAGCATAATATAGTCTCCACACTTGATTGCGATAATCATGGAGTAACACGGTGTAACCACGATGGAAGTGGTGTAACTGTGAGTGATTTAACTGATTCGGGTATGATTCAGCTTTCGTCTGGAATTTTAACAACGAATCTCTCTCTTGACCCGAATTTGTGCACAGCGGGTCACACAGACTCTGGCTTAAAGAATAGGCCTACACTTGGTTTCTGTCATTTACACAAGTTAGGTATACGGTTTTAACAAGAACGCAGGTACGCAAATTCGGATAATAATATTTTATGAGTGTCTGATTGTGACATGTGTTATTGGTAGGCCTACTTCATTGGCACTAACACAAGTAAGTTTTTAAGTTCTTTTAAAAGCTTACAGTAGGTATCGCGCCTGTGTACATAAGGTAATGGGGTTGTACATGGCATCCTATAATAAACTTTATAGCTCCATAGTTACACGTACGTTTTGTGTGTCGGAATTGTAGGCTTATAGATTGTGTCATACCCCTTGAAGCATCGTGTTTCCCATCACGAATTTTCCCACAGTGGCGGATCGATAGCGAAAAGGGGGTTTTCCTCGGCAGTCACCAAATATGTTATTGGTATTATTATCCTTTATCATTATCATTAACTTTCCTATCGGTTAAATAAGCACGGATGATCGGTCGGTTTATAACGTCCTGAAAACAGCATAAGGACGGTTCTATCCATAACCCATACTAAAGAAGGCTGGATTAAGTTGGAAAATCATCACCTCTTCGTCGTTTAAGTTGTTATTCCTATTTAATCTTTACATGTAAATTCATTTAGTTTCAATATTGCGTTAAACAACAAATGTGATTGCATACGTTAGTTTAGGCATTGAGCGTGATTTTCAATGTTTAGGTTTATCCTATCTTATTTGAACTTTGGAATCTCTGCGTGTAGGCCTATTTCTAATTATGTTTTATAAATATACGACTAAATAAATGATAATGAGCATGGCATACGAATAAAAACCTCGTTAGTTGGCTAGACCATAGACCACTTGAACCGTTTAGACAGATAGTGCATTGCAGACTTCGACCGGTTGAACTTATTCGAACAATGTATTTACCTTCCTTTGATGAGTTATATTTAATTTAACCGTGTTAAAGGCTTGATTTATATTATATGCTACTATTTATTTCCAGCCGTACGCCCATTGTGTAATAGAGTGTACCTGACGGTTATTTAAATCTATTAAACCATGAAGCCTCGTTGGTCTAATGCTTATGAAGCTCGCCTTGTCAACGAGAGCTCGCAGGTTCGATTACCGTCGGAGACATTTTATTACAAAATGCGCCTTGAGCACCATTGGTGGAGATGTGCGCTTTATAAATCTTCTTTATTATTATTATTATTATTATTATTATTATTATTATTATTATTATTATTATTATTATTATTATTATTATTATTTATTTATTTATTTATTTATTTATTTATTTATTTATAGGATAACATTCGTTGAGAGCTGCTGCACGATGTCCTACATTCGAACACTGTATTTACCCTGTCTCTTATACACATCTAGATGTTCAAGTAGTTAAAAATCACGACATACCCGCCTTATTTTGCTACCTAGCGCCCTCTCAGTTAATCATCGAGCCCCTCCGCCCTCCACATTCGTGGCCCCTCCCCATCAGTCCTCCCACTCCATTTCAGACTCCTATATAGGCCTACGCCAATAAGCTCAATCCATCGTACTAAAAATAATAATGAAAATTGTGTTTATTATTGTAGGCCTGGGCTAAGGCCTATTAGACCTATATAAATTGGGTCTATTGCATATTTTTTGTTTATACATGCTATGATTTCATATTTTTCTATTCACATTTTTCAAGGATGCAGCTACCGGGCGACGACGAGGTCACGTGTTTTGTAAGATGTCGAGATTCTGAATTGAATTCATCTTCTTTGAATTGTTGCCTTGGTAACATCAGTGGCGACGCGATAGAAGACAGCGAGGAGGTGATAAGCAATTGCATTACACTTAGCCGACCAGGGCAGGAGGATAACTATGAGGTTAGCGCAATTTTATTATAAAATTACATAGGTGTTACGCCACCGCTACTAGGCCTATCCCTTTTAATAAAAAAGATATACATTATTGGAATAATAATTTTAAGTTAGTAGATAACGTTGTTTTTTTTTATTCTGGTAGCTTCTTTCATATCCAATTGTCATCGCAATACCATACCAAATAAATGCTCGAGTGGCGAATACAAAGGAGCTAATTGTCAAGCAGCGGGTCGTCAGGGAAGAGGTGGTTTCGGAGGAAAACCCAGAGATTGTTAAGACCGTGGAATGGAAAATATTGCAGCCATTAGCGACTGATTCCAGTCTACCTGAATACAAGGTGAGAAGCCTACATCAGATTCAGTTAAATTTTGATAATGCAATTTGGCTGCAAAAATGATTTGTACTCTATACCGTTCCTAATAACATTAGATTTTTATGGTTTATATATTGAGGTAAAAATTGGAACAGGCCTACTTTAATATGACTACTGTATAAAAGCAAGTAGGCCTACTATTTATTTTTCTAAGTTTTCCGTTGCACGGTATTTTATACCTCAGTGGTTCAAATGTTTTCTGTAATTAGTATCTATGTGTTTGACATGACTTGGATGGGAAACAGTCAATTTTGTTAATATTTATGTTTTCATAAATAAATGTTATACATGGAATTATTGTCAACATATTATAAGAATCTCATGAAGGTCTGGTACATGAATGCCCTATAACTGTTAAATTAAAAAAAATGTTTCGAAAATTATGACCCAGTCAAGAACTTTCCAAATACCTATTAATTTAATATCGTTCCTAAACCAGGGCCAGTTAGTTGAGGTGGCAGTAACTCGATTGACGTCATTTGCAGTTGTAGCGCGCATGGTCAACGACAAAATGACCATCAATAAGAAAGGAGGGGTTATAAAGTCGACAGCTGATCATCGTGTGACAATCACCTACCCCCAGGGGGTGTGCACTTTGATGAACGTCTCGCTACAGGTAATTTATCTTTAATACCACCATTAATTAAATTAATTACAATTAACTAAAATTATAATATCAATGACAATAATTTTGAAAATGATTATTAATGATAACCACCGGGCCTAATTACCGTTTAATTCTATATCACAGTATGCTTAAGGTTTGTTTTTAAACGTCATTGTTATTATTATTATTATCATCATCACCGTTATTATTATTTTATTCAATATTCAAGGTTCAACCTGCTGAGTCAGTTGCTGCCGATTTGAAAACTCGATTTCGACATTGCTCGGACTTGATCGGGGCCAGTCCGATTCTTCACATGACGCACGCCCCAAGCAAGAAGTTCGACAAGCCCATAACTGTTTCCATTCCTTGCCCTCCGAATCCAAATAAGGGCAGTACACCAGCCACAGGCAAAGTCACAAAGTCCGAGAAGAAAGAAATAGAGCCAATGCTACCGGAAGGTAATACATTTTCTCCATAAACAAAGTCTATATAAAAAAGGGATCAGTCAGGTCCATATAGAAAATATCACTCCACCCTCTGATGCGAGTGGGGTGATAATCTAATCATTTCAATGGGCTCCGGCCTATTTTTGAAAAAAATATATATATGTTTAATTACTCAGAACTAATCTGAAATAAACGCCAAGACGCACTAGTTTAGCATACTGTACGATATCAAAGCAGATGCTAATAAGTAAGTAATATATATTGCTTTTCATGAAATTATTAGAAAGAAAAGCCGAAAAATAGTCATTCATGTTGAAAATATACATTCATTAGCTCTCAACCTTGATTAGCTGTGATTAAAGCGCGTAACGTTTCTAAGTACGAGCTCATTGAATCTCCTGTATGCGCTATGATTATGTTGGACCAATGACAATGATAAGTTTGAAATGAAAATGTTGTTTTTTTCAATAATTATAATAGGTGCAATTATAATTCGCAAGACAAAGAAGAGTAGTTACGGTGGAGACGCCGCTGATGATTTTCTCCATGCTTTGTACAAACAATCAGAAAATGGTTCGTGGAACGATTTGGAAAAAGTGGAAATAAAACAAGTTCGAAAGGATGTTGTGACCCTCGACTTGAAAAGACCAGTCGAGAGGTAAGTCCACTCGCGATTTTGTACGCCTAGGGTAATTTTCCTCTTTTGTTTTTTTCTTAATGGCTGATGTATTTTGTTACGGAGTGATGTCCTACATAAGTAGTATGCAAATGTATAGCTAACCTGCCCTGTGTATGCTGATCACGCATCAGATCAAGGAAAACAACATGCATTGTAAACGTATATGTAAACGTGTGTGTTTATGGGACATGTGCTTATTTTTTACCCTGTTCTGATTTGGCTAGTTGCTAAGACACTCCGGAAAGGTTCCTTGGGTACACGGAAAAGTGTTTCAACTCGAAAAATAAAGTCCAAAAGCTTTAAAATCATAAAGTTTTTTTTTTCTTTTGTTGACCAAAGGTCATTAACTTTCAGATATTTAAAACACGTTTAGCAGAGCGGTCTCTGGTTTCTCAACATGTTAATAAACGTAATGAATATGTAATTGTATTACATATGAAATCATAGATTATAAAAAGCAGCACTCTGAGACTAACTTTGATGTAATTTATTCAACACAAGCTTTCGCTGGCAGTCAATGCCAGCTTCATCAGGTGTGACTTAATTACATCAAAGTTAGTCTCAGAGTGCTGCCTTTTATAATCTGTGTATATTGTTTAGACTAACACGGCTTCATTACAACTTATATGAAATCATGTTTATCTTCTGTATTAAAAATAGCTTATTAGTTGTACGGATGGGCGTAGAAACAAAATACACTCCGAAGCAGATCGCCAACACGTTTGAGCAAGCTTTACAAGTAAAATACGCAAATATAATCCTTTATCACAAAGTTGAGAGGCCTGAGAAAATTATCGTTCAGATTGTGCCAATCCGCCAGTTGGATAGCGCCCTAAGACGGCTAAATAATGACAACTACGATGGACCTCCGGATCCTAGTGCAGATATACCAATGACTGAAGGTCAAGAAATTACAATAAGGTACCGTTAATCGATTTGTATTACTTGTACGAACTAAATAATCAAAATGTTAACTGATTTAACCGGACTTGAGGCATTGGAGTGATGTTACAGGATATTAAATTATGAGATTGTCAATACATTAAGGTAATGTTTAATACAATATCGGCAATCGTTATACAATATTAATAACTATAACTAACTTTTATTATTTTTAACGTTTTTTCTTTTGATATTTTATACATTTTGGTTGGTGTTTTTTTAATGTAATGTGTTGTATATGCCTACGGTATTAGGCCTAATTTTCTTTATTTAATTGTTGTTCTCTGTTTTTGAATGCAATTCGTTGTTAATTTTTATGATTTTATCTATAGTGGAATATTATTGTTATTCTTGCAATTTTAATGATTTTGAACTACGACATATTTTTTAATTTTCTCATATTTTGTTGTTGGAGTTATATCTGTTTGTTAATTGTTTTGGAAGAGGGCCTCTTCAAGTCAGCATTGCTGTAAGAGCCACCCTCTTAAAAAATTGTCGATTGAATAAATAACTAGTGTCGTCATTTCAGTAGACCTATTCCAATAATGCAGTAGGAGAAAAGGCTATTAATAGAAGTTCTTTGATTTACTTATGTTCAGGCTCACTGGTAACATCAGGATTGTAGGTCACGATGAACTCAAGTTAACGTTCCACACTCAACGAACCAACATGGTAGAATTTACCATAAAAGAAAACAATAAATTTGGAAACTACAGTTCTTCAGAATATCGTGGCGTTGCCGAATTTTATGGACGGTCGCGAGTGACGGTCCATGAACCAGACGATCCGGAGGAAATCCTTCTCCGTGAGGCGGAAGCGAAGGCGGCTGAGAAACAGAACAAGAAGTCGTCTGACTTCGGAGGAGCAAAAGGGCAGAAGGAACAGAAAGCAAAGGAAAAACTGGAGACGAATTTGTCGAGAGCACCACCAGACCTCCTATGTAAACTTGCAGTGTCTATACCAAAGGTAAAATTGTTGAGTAAGAGGCTTATTTTCAGGGAGAGCGCCGGGGGTGGGGGAGGTCCTCGACATGGGAGCTTATACACCCGATGAGAGCAAAGTGGGCGTGGTCGGATGTCGATCAAAATCTTTCAAAAGTGGTCCCGGGGAAAAACCCATTAAACATGACAATTTAGGGGTTTCAAATGCTTAATTCATCGATTTTAGAATCCACTAATATGTAGAAAATAGATAAAATTCCTTTTTTCTCCCCGACGAATTGTATTTTTCTCCTTG